CCATCGTGCGCCCTGGAGCAAACGCTGAACCTACAGCTCGATCTGGGGTCTGCATGTGGGAGGGGCAGCGACGGAGATGGCTTCCATATCCCCTAGCAGAGGGACCTAAACCAGCAATGAAGTGGTGAGCCAAGTCCTGGGTTAGGCTCAGTAAGGGACCTGGTGACTGTGAGCCCTGCTCCCGGCCGCTGGCTTGGGTGTGCGTAAATGCAGAGATGAGCTATTTAAAGGCAATAGAGAGGAGAACACCCTGTACAATGTGCTTGAGGCCAAGCCACGAGTGGCAAATAGATGGGCATTGACTCTAACAGGCAAGGAGTGGCAGTCTGGAGGGCTGTGTTGAGAAGGATTCTGAGGTCCGTCTATGCTCGCGCCATGTCTACATTTTCCTTCTCTGAGCTAGATGTGTGGCATGGCAGCAAGTTCTTCAGGAAGTCAGAGCAGGGAGAGAGTCCACTGGGGACTGGAGTGATCCGGGGAAGGCTTTCCAGAGGGTGCTAGCGCAAGCTGAAAATGATTAGGAGTAAGATGAAAAAGACATCTTTCCGAGAGTGTCAAACTATGCTTAAGGCAGATGGCACCCTGTCTCAGAGGCTTCGACTTTCCCACCAGCTTCCCATGAGGGGTGGCTACTTAATGAGGTTCTCAGTTTGGTTCAGAGCTACCTGTTAGTTTTAAGGGCTTTGGAGAAGCTGTAAAACGTTAACAACTCTCCCAGGCATTATCTGTAACAGATATTGCTCTGTATTTTTCTTTTAACTGAGAGTCAGGAAATTGCTCTTGATCTTGAACACCTAGAGATAGAAAATGCCCTTGACACCCAAAGGAGTCTATCACAGATAGCAGGAGGGAGGGTACAGTGACATCAGTCTTCTCATCTGTAAAATGGGGCAATGAGAGCGTCCGTCCCTTAGGGAGGCTGTGAGGATTGGAAGAGATATCACGCACAGCATGGGCTGCCCTATGTACCATATCAACATGAGACAATCCCATCAGGGGTGCCGTTAGTCTTACTGTCAAGGGAAGGGGAGTCTGCCTGGCATCCCCCAATGCCCACCTGGAAGGTGGCTGCTGACACCCGTTGCCCCCTCCCCCGCCCTTTGGCCAAGAACGTGGATTTGGCTATTCTCAACTCCAGTCCCTTCTCTTTCACAGCACACCCGCTGCCCAGCCCTGGGTGACATCTGATTTCCTCCGTTTGGGACATTCCAGTTCTTTTCTTTACAGCAAGCAAATCAAGCAACAGGCAGCTGGAGCGCTCATTAAGGGATCCAGCCCAGGAGAGAGGCACTGATGGGGGAAGAGTGAGGGCCTGAGGTCTGGAAACCACACTGCCAGCTCCCTGCAATCGGGCTCCCCACCCCCATCCTCTTCTCCCCGACCTGACCCTCCCCTCCCAGTGGCCAGGCCCATCAGATCCAGGCCTTCTGCTCGCAAATGCCTCTGGCCTGCCTCCTTCCAGGCTCCTCTCCCATGGGGTCCCCTCGGCCTGGCCTTCCACCAGCCTCCCAGATTTGGTCTCTGCCCAGCATCCTGCTTTCCCCACTGGGATGGGTGGTGTGCCTTTGCCCCTGGGTTCCTGCCTCTAGGCCACGGAGTAGGCTGTGGGCCTCCCCAGGACTGTCCTGTCTGATGGCCTTCTTTCTTCCTTCAGAGAATGGCCCAGGCCTACCTGCTCTAGGATGACTGTTTGCCCCACATCCTCGGGAGCCCCCTGGGAGCACCCATACTGTTCTGGGAATGGCATGGTGTGCCTGTGCACCTTTAGAGCAGGAAGCCTCTGCATGTCCATGTCACAGAATCACTCTGTGAACAAAACCACGTCCCCAGCTCTCCTCTGCCTTTTCTTCTCACTGGGGGTTCCTCCGGTCAGCCTCTTGCTTCTCGGCCTCTCCCCTTTCTCACTCTTGCCCTTGCTCCCACTGGAAGAGCACATGTAGGAAAGGGAAGGCCGAGGGCAGAGGCAGGCCTTGAGTTGCTCCAAGACACCTTTGCTGGCACAGAAGTGGTTTGCTACTAGAGCAATGCTGTCCCACAGAACTTTCTACGATGATATATATGTTCCATATCCGCACTGTCCAATGGGTAGCCATTGGCCTTGCGTGTCTCTTGAGCACTAACCTGAAACGAGGCCACTGTGACAGATAAACTTAATTTTAAATAGTATTTGATTTGAATTCATGTACGGATAATGAGTCACGTGTAATTGTATGGGGCAGTGCGGTCCTTCGAGTGCCCCTTCATGAAGCCCTGGACTGTAAGCCCCATCTAGGGGATGCCTCCCAGGGCCACCTCCCCACAGAGGGGGCTGACCACCACCTCCACCCCCAGGACCGGCCCTCCATCTGGCTCCACGGCCCTTGGCTACCGACCTGTGACTCCCACTGCAGCCCCCGTTCCCATTCACCCCACTCTATTCCTGCCTGCAGCCCAGTCCAGGCCCCAGGCCCCTGTGGCCTGTGTCGGCCTCTCGTTTTGCCTTCCTGCTCTGCCTTGCTCTCCCTCCCATTCTAGGAACACAACTGCCCTCCTCAAGCCCTTCCATGGCTCCCCAGTGCTTTCACATAGATCTAACAGTCTCTGAGGCCACTCTCGACCCAGGCGCCCTGGCTCTCTGCAGCAGAATCTTTCACCACTCCATTCCCCAAAGCCAACCCCTCCCTCTGGCTTCCAACCTTCAGAAGCTGTTCTCTTTGCCCCCTGGAACAAGGCCCCTCCACTATCCCTTTTGGCCTGGAAGACTCTGATTCACCCTTTAAGACATCACTCGAAAATCACTTTCCCCGGAAGCCACCGCCCTCATGTATGTTACATGTTAATACACTCCCCAGACCTCCTCGGCTCCCATCACATGATGGGGTCACCACCCGGGGCCTTCTTTGTGCCCTATTTGCCTGTGAGTTTAGGAGGGCAGAAGTGTGTCCCCCACAATGCCTGACCCACAGCTGGCTCTCAGGAAACATTTGCTGCCTGTCTGACTGCAGACGGACAGGGGAAGGCGGCAGGACATAGTGAAGAGCCCTGGAAGTGGGGTCAGGAAATTGAGTTCTAATTCTGGATCTGGCCACGTGACTGGGGTAGCCCCCAGCCCCTCTGTGGGTCTCTATTTCCCCATCTGTAAGATGGGGTCAGTTCAGATGCTCAGGCAGATGAGAGGTCTAGAAGTCAGGGGCTGCCCCAGAAGCTCCAGTTTGCAGACGAGGAATCAGCATGGTGGAATCAGCATGGTCCGTAACACTGTCCGCCCCAGGCCTTGCAAGCATGAGACTCGACAGGGCTAAGTCTCAAGGGGAGGAAGCAAGGATCTGGGGCAGGCCCTGGCCAGCAGCAGGGGCCGGGGAGGGGAGACTACGGAGAGAGGCACTGAGCAGAGCTCCCAGGGTCAAATGTTTGCCCCTCTGCAGCCAGGGCCCCTCCTCGACAGCGGGGAGTGGGGGAGTCGGGGAGTGGGGGGGAGGAGCCCTTGCTGCCCTGACACCACCTCCACCACCCAGCCACCCCGGGAACACTCTCAGACAGCTGGCAGAGGCTACTGGCTCGAGCTGTTGGGTCCAGACACTTCCCAGAGGACTTGCAGGGGGCCTGGCAGAGTCCTGGATCCCCTGGGTCCTGGCGGAGCATGGGAATGGGCTGCTGGCAGGACTGGGACCACCCGTTCTGCTCTAGTCCTGGGACCTCCCTCTCCTTGAGCACACCAGAGAGCTGCCTGGGCAACTACCAGCCTTTGCCTGGTAGTGCGACCCGAGAGGAGCCCAGCTGCAGGGCACTGGAGCCTTGTGCCAGAACGGCCACAGCACCCACCTCAGAACTGGGTTCCGACCAACCGTTACAACCAGTTTGCGAGCTCAGAGGGGTGAGGGTATTTGCTGCTCACAGGGCTCTAAGTAGCAGAGTGGGGATAAAAGCCTCCTGCCTGCTCCTTCCTGTTCCACACCACCTTTCACTAAGTAAGGTGTCCCCTCCCAGTTCTTGCTCAGGGAAACCTTCCATGGCCAGCCCGTTCCAGAACCTCTTCCCAGACCACCACAGCCCTCACCTGTGGGTTTTTTCCTTCATTTGAGCCCCCCTTCCCTTGTGCTGTCCAGAGTCTCCTAAGTCACCAGGATTCCCACTCCCACTGGCCAGCTCTTCCTCTGGTGGCACCAGTGAGACCGCATGTCTCTCCTTCCTGGGGAGGGCGAGCTCTCTCCATGTACTCCCAAGACTGCTATGGCTAAGAAACACTAATGGCTTTTAACCCACTTAGGTTCAAGGACATTTCAGAAGGGGGCAAAGCTCAGCATCGCTTTCCCAGAAAAACACACAAACATAAAATGATGGGGACCAGGGGACCAGGGATAGGAAATGTGGCTTAGAAACAAGAGGGTATAGGCTTATTTGAGCCCAAGGACAGCACAACCAGGGAAACCACAGCCTGGGGGCAGTGGGCAGGGACCAGGACACCACTCCCTGCAAGGACAGCCCCATCTGTCCCTCTCAGCCCCCTGGATGACTCTCTTCCCAGCTGAACATGGCAATAAAAGTCTGGCAGCAATGATCCTCAAGGGATGGATGCGAGGGCCGCGGGGGCCCAGCCAGCCTCAGCCAGGGCCATCGGGCACGCATCCCGCCGCGTGGGCGCTGGACGGCTCACACCGCCCTGGCGGAGTGCCGGAGAGAGAAGTGGGGCCTGGCAGCCTCCGCGCGCCTCCCCGTCCCTTGCCGCCTTCCACCTGCCCCGCGCGCCCTGGCGCTCTCAGCGCGGGACGTGGGGGCGCCCGCCGGCGCGGGAGCTGAAGGGTCCCGCGCAAGCCGCCGGGGTCCTCCGGGCCCTCCGAGTCCCCGCAGGCACGCGTCCGTCCCCGCCCCCACCCACCGGCAGACAGCCGCTGCGGGACCCCGGCGCACCGCGCGACTCGGAGCAAAGCAAGCGCCCGCCGGCGCCCGCCGGTCGAAAGTTCGGAGGCTGCGCGAGGGGGCGCCGCCGGGAGGGATAAAAGCCAGCAACAAAGAGCACAGACCTCATCCAGCAGTTGGTTGACTCGTCCCAAAATAGCAGTCTCCATTTGCTGCTCCCCACGCTCGGCTTCCAGGCGCAGCACCCGGGCCTGCAGCTCGGCGGTCCGAAAGTGGGCGAGCAGGCTGAGCGCCAGCGAGCACAGGGCCAGCGCCAGCAGCCCGCAGGATCCCGGGCTCGGCAGCCGTGCGCAGCGCTCCGCCGGCGCCACCGCCAGCGCCACCGCCGCGGGCGCGCTGGGCTCCCCGGGGCCGCGGGCATCGGCTGCTGCCGCTTTGCGGGCGCGCTCCGCTACCATCCCCTCGAGTCTTGAGAACCAATAAATAAATAAATAGAATAAATAAAGGCGAGCGCCGCTGCCCTGAGGCGCTATCCGAGCTGTGGGCAGGGGGGAAAAAATGTCCCTTTCCTTTGCTCCCGGCAGAGGATGGAAAAAGGAGCGGCAGGAGGGGGAAAGCCGAAAAAACACCACCAGCGGTAATCGGGGTACACCCAGGTGAGAAGAAAGTTACTTAGAAGAACGTTCCAAGTCCAGAAAAGTTAGGGGAATCTGGACGGCTCTCCTCTCCGCCCCGTTTTTCCCTTCGAGTATCTGCAGAGTCCTGGAGTTCCTTCTGCGCTGTCCGTCCTTCTTGGTTTCTCGCGCTTCCCGGGCGAGCCGGTTTCAGTCCCGGGGCGAAGGGGCGCACATGGAGGGCCCCATGGGCAGAGGTGGGTCGTGGCCGCTGCCGAGGAGCGTTGGGGCCGATTCCGGCGCCTCTGTAACTTGACACACTAGCCGCCGCTGAACGGATCGGATGAGCAATCCGTGCTACTTCCCAAACTAATCTCTCCCACCCGCCTCCCTCCTCCTCCTCCTCCTCCCCTCTGCTCCTCCACCTCCTGCGGGGCCGACGGCTTGGATTTATTTATTTATGCAAACTCGCCCGGGGTGGGGGGCGTGGTGTGCTGGGCCCGCCGCCCCAACCCGCCCGCCCGGGAGCCCCTCTCCCGCGCTCCCTGTCCCCTTTGAAGTGACACTTGGGGTTATTTATAGGCGGGAAGGGGGTGTGGAGTGGAGCAGGACTTTACTTCTCTCCCTTTCTCCGGATTCACACCGAGGGCCCTTTCTGCCTTCCACCGAAGTCGTGGGGCCAGGATAACTGCTTTCGGAAAAGTTGGCAAAGGCAGCCTTAAAGATAGTCCAAGGAGCCTGGCGGTGTTCTTGTTGGGCACCTGGATGGATTTCAAGATCTTGAGCAGGACGATCTAAATCCCTTCTGCCACCATTGCTCCCACCCCCACGTGTCTGGGGTCTCATCCCCTCTCTCTCACCCCAAATCAGTTTCACATTGTTTCTGTACATCCTGCGCCCTGCAGCCCTGAGCTTTCGGTGGGTGCTCTTTCCACCTACCACATCTTTAACATCTTTACTCTGGGGTGAAAAGTCAACCCTCCAGGGGGTGGCGGAACTGACCTTTTCTCTCTTTCAGAAGCAAGACATAACAAGGTACAGGAGAGTAAAACTGAGCAGAAAGGTCCATTCCAAGGTATTCGAGAGTCCGGGTCCTGACTCCCCTCCTTCCTGCCTGGCACCCACTCCATCCCTCTGCCCTCTGAGCAGCCTGCCCAAAGAGCCCAGCCATCTTAGGTGAGCAATTCTCCCACACACTCAGACTCCCTCCCGGGCATGAGTCCTTCTTTAGAGCTAACCCTGCTCCCTCCTGCTGTCATTTCCTAGGTAGAGAAAACCTAGGGGCTGAAGGGCATTTTGTAGTTTCCTCTCTTGTCACCTCCCCCACTTTGAGTAACACTGTATCCCAAGAGACCTTATCTCCTTGCACCTCTTGACATTCCTGCAAATGGGGTGGCGGGATAGAGTTCCTGGAGAAAGCCCACCTCCCAGGAACGTGGGGGCAGGGGCTGAAAAGCTGGCCTTTGGGATGTGAAATGCGGGTGGGGTGACAAGAGTGTTGTGATTCCATTTTAGAATAACAGCTGTGCCAACTTCACATTGTACATATTGACTTGGTGGGGCCTGATGTGTAACAGAGTATCAGGGATGACCTAACAGAATGGCATATTTGACAGAGTACCATGGTAAGGTAGCACTCAGTTGTAATCTGATGGGTCAATCAGCCACACAGAGGACCACAGGGATAGAAAGTGATGCTGTGGAAAGCGCTGGTGACCAGGAGTTCCAGGTCAGTGCCGGTTGGAGCATTTCCTTGGCCTGGGAAACCCACGTTTCTCTACCCAGGATGGATGTCTCCACTGGACTGTGCACACAGGATCCCTGAGAGAGCACCCTGGTGTTGGCGACCACCAGGGGGCGCCAGAGAATTTCCGCACTGAGAGAATGTGCCAGAGATTCAGGGACTGGCATCCCCTACCTCCACCCCCACCCCACCCCACCCCCAGGCAAGTGGGCATGGAGGGACCGAACTTCGGGTGGCGGGGGCTAGTTTCATTCCTTCTGCCTTCCACAGGCTCATCTTTCCCTTCCTGGACTTAAGGAGCGCTCAGGACTGTTATGGCAATGAAATGATTCATGGGGGGCTGGAACATGCTTGGTGGCTGGAAACAAGGAGGACACAGCGGGCAGGCCTGACCCCAGCATCACAGTGGACGTGTCTGAGCCTTGAGGGCTTCCAGGGGGCTCTAGAGTCCGAGAAGTCTGGGTCTAAATCACAGCTTGGGGGTGCAAACTTGGGGGAACTTAATGACATGTTGCGGTTAAAGCACTCGACACGGGGCTGAAACAGAGCAGGCTCTCAGATATGGCGTCTGTTGCTTCTATAGGACTCAGGGTTGCTTGTCCCAGCTAAGATGCAGCCACTTCTGGGCTCCCAGTTGTGAAACAGAAAGAAATGTCAATCCCACGAGAAAGCAAATGAGTCACAGTCTCCGTTTTCCCATGCCTGAGAGCCGGGGGTAGCTGCTGAGTGGGGGGCCCTATCCCCAGATGTCCCGTCCCTTCTCCCTGCATGTTCTGGGGGAATTCCGGCTTCCAGGGAAGCATTGCCTAGCACGGGCACAGAATAGCTGGGCTTATCTTGAATGCTCTTTCTGCAGAAGTGGGGGCTGGGACCCACGGATGCGGGGCTGAATAAACCTGACTTTTCAGGAGCTCAGAACCCAGCAGGGAAGATTGGGTATGTTCAAAAACAACCGCCACATGAAGCAGAACAGTGAAAATCCACAAAACAGTGCACAGGCCACAAGAAAGTGCTTCGGGGATTCCCAGGAAGAAGGGCATGGATCCTGTGGTTCAGGAAGACTTTCTTTTTTGTAGCAAGAAGGCTTTTGACATTAACCCAAAGAGTTTGACCTTACTCTGTGACCATGCTTCTACTCCTAGAGAAAAGCAGATATTCTGGGTACCGGGATAGAAAGTTAAGAAAAAATGCCCCGTGCACCTGGGCCGTGCAGTTCATCGAGTACTTTCTATGCTTTTCTGCTTTCATGTATTTGCTCCTGCTGGACTCTCTGACAGAACGTCCACCCTTCATTCACCAGTTCTCTGCACCTGAATGTCCTGTCATTCTCCCCAAGTCCAATTTTAGTGCACAAACCCCACTTTTCTTCTCGCTTGGGGCTTTGACAACTTCAACCTCCCACTTCTGAAGCTCTTACCATCTCAGCTTCTGATCCCACTGCCTGTCTACTCTGGTCTCTCTGGCCTGATTTTTAATCCATCCATCTGGCTCTTTCGTTCCCCGGATCAAAAATGGGGGTTATATCTCCTCAGGACAGTCAGCCTCTGCTGGGCTGTGTTCCCCACAGCTCTTAATCTGACTGCACGTCAGAATCACTCGTAGAGACCACGGGAGTGCCTGTTTTATCTCCAGACCCTATTCTCACTTGTCCCCATATCTTTGGCTCAGTTTCCCCTGAGGGATCCCTTACCCCCAGTCCATGTGACTCCGGTGCAACTGACCCCATGCCCAGCTCTATCTTCTAAGATTGGGAAGGGCTTTCTAAGAGGGTACCAACCAGAGCTACAGGAGGCATCTTGCCACAATTCCTAAAGATCTTGCCTGAAAATGAAGCGAGCACGGAGGCAAGCAGAGGTGCAGAGAGAGGAAGTCCTGAAGACGTTAAACTCTTGGATCAAACTGTGCCTGAAACTCATCTATGCCAGCACTTTTCTCATGACAGGAGTCATTTTTGCTCAAGCTAGTTTGAGTTGGGTTTCTTCTCTCACAAGGAAAAGAACCCAGAGTCACAGACAGGGGCTCCCCGTGTTAGAGAGTGAGTCAGAAACCCTTTGTGGTCAGAGTAGGGGAACAGGGAATCCCAGTCTCCCATCCTGTTTATAGAAGTTCCCCGACACTTTGGGGTGTACACGCAGGGTAGAAAATCACTGCCCTGAGAGCTTTCCCTTGGGTGAGCGTGTCCCTCCTAAGCTCCAGGTTCTGTCTAGCTCATGATGACTCTCCAGTGCGAACCCACAGCCCACGCCCAGCACCCCTCACCCACCTCCAGCTGCTTCCTGGCAGCTCGTTAAGAGCTCCCCTCCTCACCAGCTCACCTCATATGCAGCGTCCCCTATTCCTCCTACATGTCATTCCTCTGGCATCTGGCCTTGGCATCACCTGCTGCTCAGGCTGGACGGGTGCCTTCTCCCTCCCCTTACATCCTTTATCCGTTTGGGACCAAGTCCTCTTGATTCTACCTCCTTAGTTTCTTTCAGATCTGTTCCTTCTCTTGGATTCCCCTGCTCCCACCTCCTGTCCCACACCTAGCGTCTAAACCGACCCAATTTTTCTGCATAGTAGCCATAAACTGGGAAACCGAGCCCAAGGTGGCCTGGCCCGGGACCTGCCAGAACATCTCCCATGCACTGCACTCTCCCTATTGCTTACTTCTCTCCAAGACTTTAGGATCGCTGGCATAGATGGCACTCCTCCCAGCTCTGTTTCTGAATCTTGCATGCATCGAGCAATGAGATAGAAGGGACCTGGGCCCCCGGGGGGGCTTTGTGGGATCAAGTTGCCAGACAAGCTTAGACTTCCATGTGAAGGAGAAGTAACTTGTCTCATTAGAGCCACTGTTATTTAGTCTGTCTTGTGTTGCACAAACCATGTCCTGTGACCTGTGGCTGCCCTCTCCCCTAGGCTGTGAGTTTTTAGAGAGCAGGGGTGGACTGCATTTAGCCCTGTATGCTCAGCACTCTGCACAGCGTGGATGCCCGAGAGATGGTGTTTGAGTGAATCCACAAATGAGCGGATGATGGATGAGTTCGGGTTCCTGCTCTCTCCCCGTCATATTATTTTACCCTGCGCATCTGCTTCCTCTTACACAAGATTTAGAGGT